ATGAGGCTCAAACTTTTTTTCAGAAACTTGTTCCAAGTGACTGACAAATGTTTTTCACACAATCTTATTTTGCCTCGAGACCTTAAATTGGACAATATTTGTTATGATGGTTTTATTCAACTAATATCCTTTTTAGAGGTGAAGAGAGCAAAATAAAAAGTCCTAATATTCGAAGGAATTTTGTTCAATCAATTTTTGTAATATTCTTTTCAAAATAATTTCAAAGGTCTTGATAGATAGGATCCATCCATTTTTAGAGACCATTATATAGTGTCTTCACAATATTTTTATTCCAAAAAAAGGTACTATGAATAATGACTTTAATGCACAAAAAAATTGTTCATCACATGCCTAAGAAGAAAAACGAAACAAATTGTCTTTTCTTCATAGTTGATTTTGAAAAAGTCTATGAGGATTAATAGAGATTTTCTTTGATGGACTCTTGTTGAGTTTGGGTTTCCTAATCAAATGATCGACCTCATCATGAATTGCACTACTTTGACTAGTTTATCCTTAAAATCTTTTATAATTTCATACAAATTGTTTTAAGAATTATTACATTTATAAATCTTGAATCCTAAACCCTAAATCAAAATAATTTTTTATTAAGTTAAAATACGATCTAAAATTCCTTAAATTATAAGTTTTAATGATAACAAACATAAATATTTTTCTAAAGGAAAGTTTTTCAAATCATTTATTAAGACGAATGCACTAAGACGATTAGTTATCTTAACATAAAAGTCTAACAGATGAATCACTTCATCTGTAAATCATTTATTTTGAATTCATATTATTTATGATGTTTGAGGATTAAATAAATCCTTGTGTCTATGATTCCTTAACAAATCGAAATAAAATAGCCTCCTCGATATCCACAATAACAAAAGAGAAAGAAGACATATTTTCCATAAAAAAAACAGACAAGTCCCTTGAATTATTGAAATTCTAAAAAAAAGTTGTTTTGCATTGAAACACATATGACCCCATTCATTTGATATCTAAAAGGTGATAAGTATTTTCTTTGATAAGATAAGAAGTAATAATTTGATAAAAAATATTTAATGTAAGTAGTTAACGCACTAACAAACACTTCTTTCCGTAAGGAATACAAATTGAAGATAGAGGAAACAAACCTACGAGAGATGTTCAAGAATTTATAATGATCATCTTCATTGAACCACATATATAAGGAAGTTTGAAGAATCACAAAAAAAAGAAGAACACACGTTGTAAAAGTTACATTCATTATTTATGTGGATAAATCTCATAATATTAATGTATCAACCCAATTATTTTATCTAATTTTAACTTTGTGTTATTTGAGAGTAAATACATTCAATGCAAGTAACTAATACACTGATGGACACTTCTCTCCACAATAAATGAAAATTGAAAATATATGAAACAAGTGTGTTAGAGAAGCTCAATGATTTGCAACGATTATTTTTACTGAAGCATGTATATTAGAAAGTTTGAGGAATCATAGAAAAAGAATGCATATTCTATTAATTACATTCATTCTTTTTGTGTATAAATCATACACTTAATATTGTTGTATTACGCCTTGAGAGTGAGATGAACAACACAATTATCTTATCTAGTTTTAACTTTGTATTATTACTTTAAGCTTGGAAAGACTTGACTATAAAATAATATTTGATTGCTTTGGGCCTATAGAAACTTGTTTATAAAAGAATATTTGATTTTTTTAAAGTCTAGAGAGACTTTGTGTTAAAGAATATTTGGATAGTTACTTAAAGAAATAAATAAAAGGATGCTTAAGTTGAGCCAGAAGTAACTTGTGAAAGAATACTTATATATTAGTAAAAGATAATAAAACTTGATTGAATTTGATCAAGAATTAGACGTAGTCTCGATGGTTAAGATGAATCGGTATAAAAATATTTTGTGTTCTTTCGATTTACTCTTTCGTATACACTCTAACAATTTCGCTATTGCTTCACTGTTTTAAAAAAATTGTGACTTTTAATTGACACTATTCAATCCTCTTTTTAGTATGTTTTTTTTCTCTACAACTATAAACAATATGAAAAGTGATTTTTAAGTAATTAAAAAATTAAAATCTAATATTAATTTTTTTCATTTATTTGTGGTTCACTTTTAATGTGTTTTTTTCACTATGTTCATTGTCATTTTAGTTCTAACATTAATTAAATTATATATATATATATATATATTAGATAAATGAATTTAATGAGATAAATTTTATATTTAAATTAATAAAAGAAAATTTTAAAAAATGTTTAAAATGAAAATAATCAATGGTGTTAAAGAATAATATTAACTAAAATTTAAAAATTAAAGGATATAATGAATCTTTTAAAAAAATAAAAAAATAAAAAAGTGTTAACTTTAAAAATGACATTTTTTGTATAAACTTGGTAGAAAATTTCGAATCGGGTCGCAGACCTAAACTTTGTTATTGCAACAAAAAATGAAAAACCAGCCATGTCCGAACCGAAGACTTGAGAAGAGAGTCCACGTCCAATCACATAACCCAGAGTGGCAAAAACTCGTCGCAAGCCCAACAAAACTTCGCCACGTCATCAGTAAAAAATTGAAACAAAAACCCAGACCCAATACGGTAATTTCCCATTCCGCAAGCAAACACAGCCTAGTCTTCTCCCTCGGCTCCAGCAACGACTTCCACAGATATAAACCCCAGTGAGTCACACTCCGCGACTCCGAAACTCTCTCTGTCTCTCTCTCTCTTTCTCTCAGCTCAATTTGGCCGTCAATGGCGGCCTCCGATGCTCACACCGGCACCTCCATCAGGCATGCCTTCGGAAACGTCCTCGCGTTCTTCATCCTTCTCCTGATCGGCGTTCTCGCCTTCTCGATCCGTCTCTTCTCCGTAAGCATTTCCTCATTCCTTTCTCTTCCGCAGATCTGGTTTCCTAAGCCTCGTTTATGTTCCTCGCTTTCGTTTTTTCTATGCGATTATTAGCTTCTTAATTCCGCGGTTCAATTTAACCGTTACGCGACTTTCGTCGCGTATGTAACAATCGTCGAGCGTAACTTGTGATATGTTAGTGTTCTAAGTTTTTCCCGTTCACGGTAGCGGAATCTCAGTGACTTAGAGGTAGCTGTTTAGGTTTTGTTTTTTATACGCGACTTGACCGAGGCGTGTTCGTTCGTTCGACGGATAAGTCAACGATTAGAAAAACGTTTGCACCAGTGGTGTAAGAGTGATACTTAGACTGAAATGGTGAAATGCAATGTAGGATAAGATGTTGTTTGTAATTTGTGATGTCATTTCCAATGTGCATGCATTTGAAATGAATTTGAGGTTATAGTATTTAAATTAGATTAAATTATATTAGATTAGATTATAAATTGAAGCCTAACTGTTGGTTGAAACTATAAATTGTAATTTGTATAATAATTGTATTTCGTTAGATTTTTTGTTCTTTGGTTATGGTTCCAGAAGCATGAGTGCGTGAGCACACTCATATTTTGTTGAAATAGTTTTCATAAAAATGGTGATATGGTGTAGTGTAGTCATTTCTGTGAACTGAATAGATATAACTAAAATTCTTGTATTTCTTTATGGACTTATATGTTTCTGAATATTACTTTCAGATGATAACGGTCTTCTGTTTTTTTCCAGCACTCTAGTAGCTTATCTGTTTCCACTTTTTCGGCACAGTTGTTCTTGCACTCCTTCACATTTTTTATGCTTTGTTTACAGGTTATAAAGTATGAGAGTGTTATTCACGAATTTGATCCTTATTTCAACTACAGAGTCACTCAGGTGAGCACTATATGGAATGGAACTATTTTGCATCTATTACTACATTCTATTGGGATGACTGAGGAGTCTCTCAAGCTAGTTAATGACTACAGAAAATTGGAATTTCTTCATGGCTGTAACATTTGTTGAATTTTACTCTATTAATCTCATTGCCATAAAAATTCGCAAAAGATGACACGTATTTGTTGGTTTCAGTTTTTGACAAAGAATGGGATATATGATTTCTGGAACTGGTTTGATGACCGAACTTGGTAAGTTAATGGTGTTTAGGTTGAAACAGGTTTTCCTCTATACATACGTAGTTTAATCAGGTTGCTAAAAGTTTCTGGATATAATGTCTGTGTTATCTTTCCATTTGAAGGTATCCCCTTGGTCGTGTAATTGGAGGGACTGTCTATCCTGGTTTGACATTGACGGCAGGCACCTTATGGTGGTAGGCATTTGAAATGCAGTATATGTTAGTTGTCATATGCTTTTTTCTCTCATGATATACTAATACTAACTATCCATGCAAGCAATTGTTTCAAAGTTTATCTATGGTGGTTGATATTTTTTGATCATTCCTTTCTGGTTTCAGGATGCTGAATTCCCTAAACATACCTCTTTCAGTTGAAACTGTCTGTGTGTTTACTGCACCTATATTCTCAGCCTTTGCTTCATGGGCAACTTATCTTTTGACAAAGGTTTGTCCATGCCAGAATTGCACCTTGCATATTTTTTCTGTTGTTTATGTGCTTCCTAATTTGCTACAGCTGCTTCCTATTGTAGGAGGTTAAGGGTACAGGGGCTGGCTTGACAGCAGCAGTTCTTCTGGCTATGGTGAATTTCTCAACATGCTTTGTGACTTAATGAGATTGTCTTCCAACTTTCCTAATGATCAAAATTATTGCCTTAGCCACTCAACATTCTATATTTGAATGATTAACAAATCAATTTGTAGGAAAAGTAATGGATGCTGGTTGAATAATTACCATGTGTGTTTATACATATATTTGTAAACCAATAATGACTGTTGGTAATAGTTACTCTCTTCTATTATGTTTTGGTTGCTGGTCCCTGTTGACCCTCTAACATATAATTTTTCCTGAATTATGTTGTGTATGCAGGTCCCCTCGTATATATCCCGATCAGTGGCTGGTAGCTACGACAATGAAGCTGTTGCTATATTTGCTTTGATCTTCACCTTCTATCTCTATATTAAGGTGATCTGCAAAAGCAAGCAACTGAACCTTATATTGAATGGCCTTGTATTATAACATTGGCTTCTCTAAATTTTCATACTATTATTAGAATGCACTATTATTATTGTCCATAATGTGCAATTTGAATATTCTGTATGAAGTATGAACTATCAATTCAGTAGCCTCTGTAGATAGAAATCACTAAGGGTCTGTTTACTTTTGTTTTCATTTTCTTCTTTCACTTTTAGCTGCAAAATTGTCACCTTGTTTTCAAAGATTTGTGGAACATAATACAAATAAGAGTTGTGATAGGAGACCTGTGGTTAAACAGGTCTACGTTAGGAGGGAAAAGGGGGACAGTTAGTTAATTTTGTAACTAACTGATGACAGTCAGGTAGGGACTGTTAAATTGTATAAATAGGAGGGAATAAGGGAGAAGAAGGAGGGGGAAGAAGTATTGTATTTTGGGAGAGATAGGCACTCTCGAATTGCCTGATTCATTGTATTCTTTCTTTCTCTTGTGTTGATAGCAAGAACTCAAGAACAATAATACTACAATCTTTCGTTATTCTCAAATTCTCTCTTAATATCCAGTTGAGACCTATCAACTGGTATCAAAGCAGGTACGAAACAGAGGCGATCAAAGATGGAAAAGAAAATGGATTTTAGGTTGGAACAGGTGGAAAAGGGATTGCAAGACATACAGAAGCGCGCGGTGGAGGAAAGTGAATGGCGGCGTAACATCGAGGGGGCTATGCGCGAAATGTTGGAGCAGTTGAAGGAGATGAGAGTAACCATGGGAAGCAACGGCCGCGAAGGGGACGAAATTCATGGGGACCCAAGAGCGGAAAAGAAAGGGTGGATGTGGCGAAACCTGGAATTGCCGCTGTTCCAGGGGGAGGACGTGTTAGGATGGGTTGGGCAGATGGAGAGATATTTCCGATTGAAGGGGGTATTGGAGGACGAAAAAGTGGAGGTTGCGATGGTGGCGATGCAGGGGAAGGCGTTGACGTGGTTTCAATGGTGGGAAGGCAGAAATCCAAATTCTGCGTGGGTGGGTCTCAAAGGGGCCTTGTTGAGACGGTTTCAGCCAGAGATGGTACAAAACCCGTATGAGGTATTGTTGGGCCTTAAGCAAGAAGGGAGTGTGGCTGATTACAGGGAAAAATTTGAGGCAAATTCTGGGCCTCTCCGGATCGGGGATACCAATTATTTGAAGGGGATTTTCTTGAATGGTCTCAAGGAGGAGATTAAAGGGGAATTGAGGTTGCATCAACTCAATTCATTAGAAGAAATTATGGATTTGGCCCTGTTGATAGAGTCCCGAAATTCTATTCTCAGGAAAGAAGGGGGTGGATCGTCTGCTACTAATAACAGAGGGGGATGGAGCAAGAACATTTATGGCAGCCGGAGGGAGGAAGAGAAGAGGAAGCAAGAGGAACCTACGGTGACGAAGGAAGAAGGAAGAACAAATTGGCGGCGCATGACAGATGCGGAGTACCAAGACAGGAGGAGAAGAGGGATTTGCTTCCGATGTGAAGAGAAGTATGCACCGGGACATGTGTGCAAAAACAAGCAAATTCGAATAATGCTGTTAGAAGAAGGCGTGGTAGTGGAAGATGAAGAGGAGGAAATCCAATGGAGTGGTAAACCATCCACCACAACATTAGATTTTCGGAGCATGGTGGGAATGACTTCAAAACATTCTTTTAAATGCTGGGGGGAGATAGGTGATAATTCAGTTTTGGTTTTGGTGGATTGTGGGGCTTCCCACAACTTTATTGCTGATTCAGTGGTAAGGAAATTGGGGCTGGAGGTGGAGAGAACTGAACCGTATTGGGTGAAGGTAGGGGATGGGCATAGTGTGAAGGCGCAGGGCATGTGCTCAGGGTTGGAAATGGAGTTACAAGGGGTTCCGTTGAGGCAGAATTTCTATCTGTTCGCTTTGGATGGGGTTGACGTGATTTTAGGAATGGAATGGTTGAGGGGGCTGGGAGAAATTAAGGCTAATTTTGATAAATTAACCTTAAAGGTTAGAGTGGGAGGAGGGGTCTATCTAATCAAGGGGGACTCTTCTTTGAGTGTGTTGGAAGCACCCTTGAAAGGCACCCTCAAGCAACTGAAGGAGGAGGACGAAATCTATTGGGTGGAATGTTGTGTGGCAGAAACGGAGTCAGGGGAGAAGATGAGAGCCATTCCGGACAGTATTCAGAAACTCTTGGAGGAGTTTGAGGAGGTTTTCAGGGAACCCCAGGGACTACCCCCGTCAAGAAGGCAAGACCATGCGATCAATTTGAAGGAGGGAGCGGAGATCCCTAACCTCAGACCATATAGATATCCATATTATCAAAAAAATGAGATTGAAAAATTGGTGCAGGATATGCTGAGAACCGGAATTATCCGACCTAGCATCAGCCCTTATGCTAGTCCTATAATTTTGGTTAAAAAGAAGGATGGGAGTTGGAGGTTTTGTGTAGATTACAGGGTGCTAAATAAGGTAACCGTCCCAGATAAATTTCCAATTCCAGTTATTGATGAGTTGTTGGATGAACTAACTGGGGCCACTATATTTTCCAAATTGGATTTGAAATCGGGATATCACCAAATTCGGATGAGAGAGGAGGATATTCACAAGACGGCTTTTAGAACGCATGAAGGGCACTATGAATACTTGGTAATGCCTTTCGGCCTTACTAATGCACCCTCAACGTTCCAAGGGCTGATGAACGAAGTATTGAGGCCATTTTTGAGAAAGTTTGTTTTAGTATTTTTCGATGATATATTGGTGTATAGCAGGAATTTGGAAGAGCATCAATACCACTATGTCTATTAAAAGTCAACAATAAAAATGTTTTGTTTCTATTTATGGTATTGTCTAGTTGGTGCTAAATTTTACTAAAAAATATTATAAAAAACTAAAAATATTTAATAATTCCAATTTAACTTCTTATTTTTAATTAAAATATTTAGCCATATTATAAGAAAATTGTTATCCATGCATATAACAAACTATCAAAGTAAACACTTTATCAAACTCTAAAAGATTAGCTTTATCATTCATTATTTTTATTTGATCAACAATGTTGTTACATGGTTAGATGATTGTTGGAGGGGCTCAAGATGGAGAAATATGTTTTTTGATGAGGAAAAAATGTAAAAGCAAAAAAATCTTAATAAACCAATCAATTCATAAAACATGTAAATAAAAACCATAAAATAAAGAATCACTAAATGTTATATTATAGGCGATTTGTTCGTGGCTATGGGGGGGTTTCTCGACCACTGACTGAATTGTTAAAAAAGAAAGCATTCGTTTGGAGTGGGGAAGCCACCAAGGCTTTCGATGCACTAAAATAGGCCATGGTCGAATTACCAATTCTGGCCATACCAAATTTTTTCAAACAGTTTGTGGTGGAGTCAGATGCGTCCAGCAAAGGGATTGGGGCAGTGCTGCTAAATCAAGTATTAACAAAAAAAATTAATTAGTCTAAATTTTTAAACGTGACAAAATTTAGAAAAATCTTATAATGAAAATTTGTTAGCCTATTCTCTCTCTTTCTCTCTATATATATATATTAGACCAATAAGGAAAGAGACATTTCATACTTCAATTGAAAAATAAAATAAATAGTTAATAATTATATATTATCTTATTTCTTTTATCTTGCATTAGAAAAACAAAAAATAATCATTTTCGTGAACAATTACTTTTCAATTTTAGATTAAAATAAAAAAATAAAAATAAAGAACAAATAAATTTATATGAAAATAGAAATTAAAAAGCAGTTATAAAAAATTATTCCATTTATATATAGTATAGATACACAAACAAATATAAAATGTTTTTCCATGATCCTGAACCTTTGAGGAGTCTTCTCAGCTAATGAATTTAATTAAGCTATTGCTTATTCCTACTTGGTTCACAATGGTAGGTGCATATTAAGGAATATAAATTGCTCTACAATTAAAAATATAATTGTTAGCCTACAATTAAATTAATTGTCTAACTTAAGCAGTAAAGAACAAGTAACCGTAGATTAAGATATTAATAATTTTCTAAAGCGCCAAATAAACATAATGTTGTCCATCCAAATGTGCTCCCAATAATTTGAATTCTACTGTAAAGTAAAAAGGTGCTTCAATAATATAATACCGCAATATCACATGATAATATTGTTATACCATGAATAAAGTTTTATTTTAATATTTAAGTGATATATAAAAATATCCACTAGATCTCAAAAATGTTTTTTCTATATTTTTCTTTCTTACTTCACTCATAATTAAAATAAATGTTAAAAGAAAGGTATATATTTTATTCAAATAATAATAATAATAAATTTTTAAAGCACGAAAAGAACCACTCAGTCTTGTACTGTGAAAATGTGCTCCCACAGCACTCATTTGACTTGGTGGAATAGAACGGCACTAACTCTCCCGTGGTTACCGCCCGAACCTGCCTCGATTTGGATAGAGAAAACTTGTGTTTATTCAGTTCGGATTCGCGTTCGGATTTTCTCCGATTGATAAAATCAAGGAGGAGGGGGGGAACGGGGATGTTGGGAACGGAGATGTTAATACTTACCCCGCCTCCGTTCCCGTCTCGCTTAATAATATAATTAAAAATTTATTTTTATATATATATAAATCAAAATTATTAATATTTATATGTAAAAATTTATATTAGTTTACTTTTCTTTTATTTTTTTAAAATTTTTCATATTTATTTAAAAGAAAAAAAGAAGAAAAAAAAATAAGAGTGAGGACGGGGCGGGGAATCCCGAACCCTGCCGGGGGCGGGGATGGGGACCCAG